CTATCGATCTATCTACAGTCATGGAGAATATTATTAGAACACCCTTGTTTTCTTCAATTTCTTGTTCATTTTAATGCCTGGTACCACCAACGGTATATTACCTGAAGAATACAATGAACACAAAAATGCAGCTGATTACATAATACCTTATGTCCTATTTGACATGCTTAAGCTTAATTGTATTCCCAGGTTATATAAGAGGCAATTTCATGTCATGTCTTTCTTCCCCACGAGATGACCGTGCACTCATCTGTTCCTGTGTCAGGAATTGTCGTCAGACCTCCAGGGACCTTAAAAATGAGTGGACACTGTCGAGAAATGTGACTTGTTCGGCAAGGACAGTTCAAAACCGACTTCTTGAAGCTGTTCTGAAGTCACACAGGGCACGGAAGAAGCCCTTCATCAACGAAAGGCAGAGAAAAGCCCGGTTACTCTTTGCTGGGGATCACAAGGATTAAACTGTTGATGGCTTAAGGTTCTCTTCAGTGATGAATCCAATTTATAGTTGATGCCCACTCCAGCCAACTTACTGGTTAGGAGGAAGCCTGGAGAAGCCTACAAACCAGACTTTCTTGCCCCTACAGTAAAACATGGGGGTGGATCAGTGACCATCTGGGCTTGTTTCAGTTTGGGTAGAACAGGGCAAATGCAACTGTGTGAAGGGTGAATGAACCAGGTCATGTACGGGGCTATCCATTGAAAACAGTCTTCTTCCATCAGCTGGAAACGTCTTTCCTTCCTCCAATGATTGGATTTTCCAACAAGCAATGCCCCTTGCCACACGGCAAGGTCAGCTAAAGTGTGGATGGAGAACCGGAACACTGGAACCATGCCTTGGCTTGCTCAATAATCAGATCTGAATCCAATTGAAAACCTGTGGAAAACGATCAAATGCAAAATGGAGAACCACAAGCCAAAAAACAAAGCAAAGTTGTTTGAATTTGTGCAACAGGAATGGACTGCTGTGACATCAGAAGCTGGTGGAGAGATTGCCAAGAAACAGGGCTGCAGTCTGTAAAAACAATGGTTATGCAATCAAGTACTAACTCCTGTGTGTATCATGTGACTAAAACTGACAGAAAAGAAAACATGGAATGCCTAAAAGCACTGTTTTTGGCAGGACAATACCATAGCTATTGATGTAAGAACTTAAGTGATTTTGTTTATTATCAAGAAAATCATGGAAAATGGCTAGATATCAGGTCTTACATTAAACTCTTATGAGCTATTTTTTGTTGTTATCAATATATTTGTCCAAACAAATGTACCTTTAGTTGTACCAAGCATTAAAATTAACAAGAAATTGAAGATAACAAGGATGGTCTAAAAAAAATTTCCATGAAGGGTATGTTAAATAATTTCTGTTGTGCTTTTTGCTATATGCAGTGTGCAAGGTCTGGATTGTCGGCGACCGCTACATTCGGCGTGGTGCACAGGAGGCAAGGCAGACCATGGGGAACAATCTTGGTGTGAATTCCCAGGTCCAGTGGCTTGGCAAGGGAGGCATGTGTAGGAGTGACTTCCTTCCCTTCTTTCATCACTGCCGTAAAGGAAGAACCGCTCCAGATGTGCTTTCACTGCGGCTGCAACAACCTTGGACATGTAAAAATGTCCTGTTAATTAAAGCTATGAAGAGAGACCTGCGAGACCTCCGTTCGATCCTCACATGAAAATAATACTTTCCTCAATTAACCAGAGGTGCCACTGGAGACATGCCTCACCAGTGAAGGTGGACAAAGTGCAGATGTTTGTAAACAGTGTGATGGCTAATTTTGTTTTGTGCATTAAAGGGCCCAATATTTATCATACAGAAATAGTGTTCAACAAGCCTGAACTATTTTTGAGGGATAAAGTTAATTTAAGCCCTCAGGGAAATTATCTATTTTTAACTAATATGTCCCACTGTCTGAGAGACCAGATCTGTTTGACCAGATCCAGCTGCTGACAATAAAATCATTACTCTGATATACTGCATCGGTGACATTGCGTTTTTTTACTCGGACCACTGTAAATGGTATGCATGAGTAATTTCTAGAGGAAGAAAGAAAACTGTGGTGATTTTAATTTTGAGAAAATCAACAGCAGGTTGGTGCTGTATGCAGTCCTGAGAGTCCAGCATTTTTGTTTGAAGCTACATTTGTTGAGGCAGCAGAATTGTTTGTATTTATACATTAAATTAAAACAAATCAATGTAAAAAAAAAAATGAAAAGAAAAAAATTGTACTACGTTTTGCCTATATTTTCATCACTCTGTGCTCTCTCGCTTCCCTCTAGTCTCATATTGTTTTCCTGTCACATATGTACAAGAAGCCCACTATTGCTGAATACTGCACTTGGTTTTGACTCAACCCCTGATATATAGTGCACAAGCATAGCACATTAAGAAGTAAAAAAAATAGAAAATAAAAAAAATAAAGAAGAAGAAGCAAGAAGTATAAAAAAAATAAATATATTCTAATTTGCTGACATAATAACATTTAGGTAAGATATTAATTATATGATTGTTTATGTAATGTGTATATGCAGTTTGAAATGTTCAGTTTAATTATGTATTTGATGCATGAAAGAAGTTCCCCTATTCGCAGGGACACGATGACGCAGGTTCCCTCTTGGATAGTCTCGCAATCAGAAAGTCTGCTGCAGTTTCCTGTCTTGTTTCAGCAGAGGTCAGAGCATCAGATAGTTCCATTACAAAGAAGAAAACCTTTCTCCAAGAGGAATTTTAATGTTAAAGCTTCTCTCATCTTCTTCTGAGACAATTGCAGGAAAACGTATTTATTTGTTTATTTTTAAATCAATTGCCAGTCAAATAAATGCTGGTTCTGGAAAGTGATCCAGATGCAATGCAACAGGAAATCCAACAGAAGAACAGAGTGGTTTTGGTGTTCAGAACATCCAGTGATATGAGAGGAGGAACATGTTGAGGGAGGAGCAACTCTGTCAAAGAGCAGAACAGAATTGTTCATCTTCTCTGGTTTGTTCAGATCCAAACTGTCTCTACTTATGAGATAATGTGATAAAGAATGATAGAAGTAAAGATAATGTGATTAGTGTCCTCCTCCTGATTGCAGAGGTGCTGCATGAACATCAGAACAAACACAACTAACTGACAGTGAACATCAGGTCCAATATTTCAGCAATACAAACATGGAAAACCTGGTTTTGACTTGGTTCATGTCACCTCTGGCAGCTCTGTATGTTTCTGACAAAAACAACTGAAATACATTTTCAAAGTGTCACATAAACAGTTCCCATTTTCATTAAGCTCAAGTTTAGAGTTTAACATTTCACTGATATAAATCTACCTGATAGTTGGACCTTTTTAGTTTCCATGTGAAGCTATTTGAGATGCAAACTAGATCTGAAAAGTGAGACATAAAGAAAGCTTGATATTACAGTTTCAAACAGTATTGGTGGACTGTTGTGAAGAAACATTTGTTTCATATAAAAACATCTTTACTGTGACAGTTTTCTAAAGGATGTCATCTCAGTTAGGAAGAAAACAAACTTCATGAGTAAATTACAAGAGAATGTAAGAAACAAAACGGACCGGTGGCCGTCCGTTAGGCTTTAAAACAACTAAACACAATAAACCAGAATTTATAATTATTCTAAAATGATATTTTAAAAGAACTAAAAACGACAACGCCACCTAGGAGAGAGCCTAGGACTCAAAACAGGTTCTTAAAATCAAGCAGAGCAGAGTTTTAAAATAACCACCGGGACTAAAGATCACAATAAAAGCATTTAATAAAACAATGAACATTCCCTTCACCCGACCCACAGTCAGCCAAGGCCCTAGCAGTCTGTAACAATCTTTCTCCTTTCGCGCGGTCCATCTTCTCCTGCGGAGTCCTGGCGCCACACCACAGTCCACGTGTTTGGCTCCGGCCCAGCCCTCTATGAACACAACGGCAACTGGCGACCCAGGCCGGAGGAAACAGGCGTTGGCGGATAGTCTATAGAACCCGGTAGCACCGTCTGGGGAAACCCCTCGCCATCTCGGCTGGTTCTCGCACTTCCATCGCTGCCACACTGCAGAACAGGTGTGACTCTGCTGCCACGCGCTCACCTGCATCGGCGCTCACCTCCTCTTCCTCTGCTGTTGGGCCTTTTCTTCCTGTGTTGCTGCCGTTGCGCCCACCCCCCAGCCACGGATTGGCCGTGATTTCTCCTCTCCTTCCCCTTAGTGGCTGGTTATGCTGTCCATCAGCTCGACCACACGTGCAGATTATTCCTCATCAAGTCCAATTAAGGCTAGAAGTGTGTCAACACAGTATTGCATGCATGCAGATAAAAACATCAAATGTAAAACACTATAAAAACAGAATAAAACCCAAGGCATAAAAGTTAAAATAAGTAAAATCATGCATAAATAAATATAAAAACATGCATAAACACTGCAAACCAATACAATGATAAAAACCATCACTTCTGCCTTATGACAAGAACACCTTGGAAGATGTTAGTAGCAGTTCTCAGGTGTTTGTATCATGTCACATAATATGATCAGAATTAACTGCTGTTGGATGGTTTCAGTATCAGCTGAAATGTTTCTATAAATGACAATCACACAACAAATCCTCTGACAACCAAACTAACATCTGACAGACATCAACCACTGAACATGTGTGAAATATAGAGAATCCAGTCTGTAAACTAGAACGTATGGAAAATAGGTAGAACGTAGAAAATAATTTACAAAATACAGTCATTAATTGATGACACGAGAGGGAGACACACTCTGTTAAAGCTCTGATTTGTGCGTTGTTGGACATAAAATAATTCCAAAACACAATCAATACTGACTGATGATCAATCAGTATGTTAGAGAGTGAATGAGAGCAGCAGCAGAGACAAACACACTGTTAGTCAGAGCTGTGAGAGGAAGGAGGAAAGGATGAAGGGAGGAGCTAAACTGGGACTCAAGTACAGAAAACACACAAACTTTCACAGTGGAGTTTGATCCACAAAACAGACAGATTGTCTTCATATTCAAGATGCTGTCAGTGAACTTGAGTCTGTTTGTCACTTTGTTTCTGTTCACAATAAGAGGTAGGTGACATATTTAACATGAACAGAGTTTCACTGAGAAAAACTAGTAGATCACAAAGTTCCATCTGTTCTACATGGAATAAAACTCTTTACAGCTGTTGATTGTTCTCCTTTAATCAATCATGTTTATTGATTCATGTCTTCCTCTGCATGTTGTGTTCTTCTCCAGAGTGTAAAGGAGAAGACAAAGTGATTCAGCCACCAGGAGATGTCATTGATGCTGAAGGAGACACAGTTAGACTGGAATGTACTTTTGAGACCAGCTACACAAATCTCGATTTGTTCTGGTACAAACAGGAAGTAAATGGCTTTCCAAAGTACATTTTAAAACGTGGTAATTATGGAAATGATAATGCTCCAGAGTTCCATAAAGACAGATTTGATGCTAAACTGAACAAGACATCAGTTCCTCTGAAGATCCAGAAGCTCCAGCTGTCTGACTCTGCTGTGTACTACTGTGGTCTGAGGCCCACAGTGACAGGAAACAGCAAAACTCTGTACAAAAAGCTTTGGAGCAAAGAAAAGAGAAAACTCCGCAGCATCCACTAGAGGGAGACACACTCTGTTAAACTTCTATGATATTTTCTGATTGTTCACTCAGAGCTAATGACCATATATGAACGCTGGAACTTAGATGGACTGGTAAATCAAAAGCTTTTCCTCTTCGCTCAGCTGCCTCGTCATCACTATGGTCCAGTACAATGCCCACATTACTACAGATGCTGCACCAGGCCTCCTTTCAATCAAAAGCTCCATTTTCCCACCACTTTTGAGCAAGATACCAAGATACTTTAGCTCCTTTACTTGGGGAGGCACTGAAGACACATCAGATACATTAAGTTGCTGATTTTTTGTTATGTGTGGATGCTATATGTTGCAAATCTGAGAACACAAACATGTTTTTAGGATGCTCTCTCTGGTCATTGAAATATATTGCTGTGCTATATATTGGTTCTCACTGCTATGTGAGAACAGAGAGAACTGTGAGAACAGCAGAGAACAATGTTCTTGCATTAGGAGGTGCTGATTCGAATCGCAGAAGTTTCACACTCAGCTGCAAACCGCTCCAGTGTGTTGAAGGTTGCTGTCTGATGAAGCCAACTGTACCACGTCATCTGCAAAAAGCAGAGAAGTGATCCTGAGGTCCCTAAACCGACAGCCAAGAGTCTCACAATCAAAAAGTCTGCTGCAGTTTCCTTTCTTGTATCAGCAGAGGTCAGAGCATCAGATAGTTCCATTACAAAGAACACAACCTTTTCCCAAAGGGGATTTTACTGTTAAAGCTTCTCTCATCTTCTTCTGAGACAATTGTAGGAAGAGTTCCATCCATCCATTATCTAGCTGGAGCCTATCCCAGCTGATTTAGGGCGAAGGCAGGGGACACCCTGGACAGGTCGCCAGTCTATTGCAGGGCTACAGTTAGAGACAGACAACCAAGCACACTCACATTCACACCTACGGACAATTTAGAATCACCAGTTAACCTCACCATGTTTTTGGACTGTGGTAGGAAGCTGGAGAACTCAGAGAGAATCCACGCTGCAGGGGGAGAGCATGCAAAGTCCACACAGAAAGATCCCTGGTGTCCTCACCAGACGTAAACCGGCGACCTTCTAGCTGCGAGGCGACGTGCTAACAACCGCGCCAGCTTGCAGCCCACTTTAGGAAGAGTTTGGTTTTTTAAATCAATTACCAGTCGAATAAAATTATAGTTCTGGAAAGTGATTTAAATGTAATGCAAAAGTAAAACCAAGAGAATAACACAATGGTTTTGATGTTCAGAACATCTAGTGATATGACAAGAGGAACATTAGAATTAGAATTATAATTGCAATAAAACTTTATTAATCCCTTTGGTACAAGACCTCAGGGAAATTACTACACCAAAAAACAACACAACACCAACATAAAATCAGCAACAAAACAACAGCATTCAAAATTCAAATCAAATTCAAATCAAATCAGCATTCAAATTCAGCACACAATACACAGATACACGTAGCATATTGCACAGTCTGGTGATAGAGCATGATCTTCTATCTCACCCCAATGTCCTCACTCCTCAACCCTTGCCCCCATCCTCTCCCCACCTGCTGCTCCTCCCCTTCCCCCCGAGCTCAGAGTTGAACAGTTTGATGGCTCGGGGAACAAAGATGTTTTGGTCCTGTTAGTTTTGCACCTGGGGAGGAGCAGCCTGTCGCTGAACTGGATCCTCTGGGCGATGATGACAGTTTGCAGAGGGTGGCTGGCATCGTCCATGATGGCCAGCAGTTTGTTCAGTGTCCTCCTCTCTGCCACTGTCACCAGGGAGTCCAGATTCATGCCCACTGCAGAGCTGACCCGCCTGATTAATTTGTCCAGCCTCGATGCGTCCCTCTTTGATGTGCTGCTGCCCCAGCACACCACGGTGTAGAAAAGGACGCTGGTGACCGCCAACTGGTAGAACATCCGCAGGAGTTTCCTGCAGATGTTGAACGACCGGAGCCTCCTCAGGAAGTACAGACTGCTCTGTCCCCTCTTGTACAGGTAGTCTGTGTTGCATGTCCAGTCCAACTTGCTGTCCAGCCACAGCCCAAGGTACTTGTAGTTTTGTACAAGTTCAACCTCATGTGCCTCAATCAGAACTGGTCATGGGCATGGTCCAGATTTCCTGAAGTCTATGACCAGTTCCTTTGTCTTTGAGGCATTGAGCTACAGGTGGTTTCCTTTGCACCAGACAACAAAGTCGTCCACCAGACTCCTGTACTCCCTCTCTCTGTCATCCTTGATACACCCCATGATGACTGTGTCATCTGTGTACTTCTGTATGTGGCACAGCTCCGAGTTGTAACAGAAGTCCGAGGTGTACAGGGTGAAGAGGAGAGGGGCCAGCACTGTCCCCTGAGGGGCCCCTGTACTGCTGACCACAGTGTCAGTGCCTTCAGTCTGACATACTGTGGTCTGTCAGTGAGGTAGTCGGAGATCCAGTCCACCAGGCACGAGTCCATTCTCATCCTTTCTAACTTTCCCCGCTGTAGTGGGGGCTGGATGGTATTAAAGGCACTTGAGAAGTCCATAAAAAGAATCCTCACAGTGCCGCTTCCCTCGTCCAGGCGTGAGTGGGCTTGATGGAGGAGGTACAGCACAGCATCCTGAACATGTCGAGGGAGGAGCAACTCTGTCAAAGATCAGAACAGAAAAGGACTCCCACTGTCACATACATTCAGTATGTAAACCAACATAACAGATAGTGTGTGGAAGATGCTGTCACTGCATTACTGGGTCATGTTTCCTTTGTTGATGATCACACTAAAAGGTAGGTTAAAGAGGGAAGAAGAAATTTCTTTAAAAGATCTGTTTGATGGAAATCGCTTTATTATTCAACATTTATCTCTTCATTTAGGCGTCAGATGTCAACAACTGACTGCAGTGAACGATGAAGAGTCCAGTTTAGAAGGCAGCACTGTCACTCTGACTTACAAATACTCCAAACAAGCTACTGGTGGTGACCAGTTTTACTGGTATCGACAACATCCAGGAAAACCTCCAGAGTTCCTCATCTTTCACTTGGGAACACAAAATGTAACACAAGCTGGACTCTCTGCTACAGTGAGTGGTGATAAAAACCAAATCACTCTGAAGATCTCCTCTGCTGCAGTGACAGACTCTGCTGTGTACTACTGTGCTCTGAGGCCCACAGTGACAGGAAACAGCAAAATTCTGTACAAAAACCTTTGGAGCAAAGACAACAGAAAACTCCACAACATCCACTAGAGGGAGACACACTCTGTTGCACTTTCATGATTTGATCTGATTGTTTACCATCATCTCTATTTTTATATTCTCAGCATCCAGATGCGGCCGTTGTTTCTGGGGAAAAAAAAAGCTCCAATAAAAACTTCTTGTCTAACCATTAAATCCCCCAAACTGTAAGTCTGAGAGAAGATTCAAAATCTTGTAGCATCATATTTTCAGTGTTCTGCTGCAGTAAATACAAAAGATCAGATCTGTAGCAAGGTGACAAGGCAACACACAAAGTAAACATTCAGCAAACATTTCTCAGAACAACCCCGTTGGGAATGAAAAGAATCCCACTGGTTCAACTTTGGGAGCAAAAAACTTCTAAAAATGGTTTTCACTGGTTCCTGCCACTGTGGTTCAACTCAGCCAATCGAATTATTTCTGTGTTCAGACCTGAAATGTTTGAGGAAATCAAACCACAGTGTGACTGATAAATGTTGTGCAGTGGAAGAACATTGTTCATCTGCTGTGTGTCTGACTTTAATAACTCCAAAGATATGTTGCTTTACCTCTTTCTGTTTTCATCTCACATCATAGGTGAGTTTCAGATCAGGGATCAAAGTTTGCTTTGACCTCTTGCATTAATGAAAAGTACCAGGGGACTGAACCCTACGTGCATACAATATTGTAGCATGTACGGTGAGCATCCTCCAAAAAATACATCACCCCCTGAAGTTGATACAATCACTCTACCAAGGTGTATAGATAATCTATCACACATAAGATATCCAGTCTGCTCTGAGAACAGTTGTTTGAGACCATTTCATTGTACTTGGCAAGCCTCATGCAATTAAAAGGTCTACAATTGTTCTCAGAGGGTGATGTATTTTTGGGGGGATGCTCATCATACATGCTACAATACTGTAGAATAATGTCATGCTGCTCACTCAGTGCTGAGGGGTAGTTCTAAACATATGATTGCATTAAAGGGAGTTACCGTACAGCAGGAAATTTTTGGTTCAGTATGATGCTTTTTTTATCGTTAAATATTACAGCACTCTCACTTAAATTCTTTCCCATTTTGAAGGGTCCATGATTCAACATTTGGCTTCTGCTCGAGACATNGAAAAAGGCTAAGATTGCAATGTATGCTGATGACTCAACAATATATGTGGTTGCATCATCTGTGAGAGAGCTGAATACCATTTTAGATATGGAATTGACGTCAGTGGTAGAATGGGTGACAAGTAATAAATTGGTGCTTAATGTTGGTAAAACAAAGTCAATTATAATTGGGTCTAAGTATCAGTTAAAAACCAAACCTGTGCTCAGCTTAAAGATAAACAATATACCAATTGAACAAGTACAAGAGGTAAAACTTCTGGGTATTATCCTCGATCATAAATTAACATGGTCTAAACAAATTGATTACACTGTGAGTAAGATGGGTAGGGGTGTGTCAGTTGTATGGAGAGTATTAAAAGTTGTGCCATCTGATGTCATTAAACAGGTTTTGAATGCTTTAGTTCTGTCACAGCTTGATTATTGTTTTGTGATTTGGTCTGGTGCTGCAATGAAAGAGTAAAAAAAAACTACAAGTAGCTCAAAACAAAGCAGCGCGTTGTGCTTTACAGTGTTCCTACAGAACTAGTGTATCAGATATGCATGACAGTCTGGGTTGGCTCACTATCAGGCAGAGATCCATCTATGTTTTGTTATATTTTGTCAGGAATATTCTGTTGATGCGATCCCCAAAGATATTACATGAAAGGCTATTTTCTCAGGTTGCTCATCATAATTATCAAACACGATTCGTAACACAATGACGGTTTATTCTACCTAAAGCATGAGCAAGTGCAATGTAGAAAACAGTCATGTACAGAGTCGTGGGTGGGTGGAATTCACTGCCACTGTATTTAGTGCAACAGGATACTAGAGATTGTTTCAAAATTTTGTTGAAACAATATTTACAATTTCTTGAGAAGGTATAGATAAGGAAAATGGTGTTTCAAAATAAAACGTAATGCTTGTGAGAGCAAAGTGTGAGGACCGTGATATTATATGTGGTTTCCGGGCTCTGTCTGTTTTGGTGTTGTGGTGAGCATGTGTTCTTTCTCTTGCAGTCTGGGCGGAGCCGATCCGAGGAGAACGCTCTGGCGCTGGCTGCTGTGGATCATCAGCTCATCAGCCTCTCGCCCTTCAAATACGAGCGGCTCACAGGACTCCAGCGCCAGATGACTGTGATACATCCACAGTGGTACCATCAGGCCGCTTAGCTGCTACACTCCGTTGAGCATTTGAGCTAAGGTTATTTCTCTTCTCGAGTTTTCGCCAGTCGAATGTGTTTGTTGTCTCTGTGTGCCTCCAGCGTCTCTTCACGGCTCCAGCTCCAGCATTATCTGGCACGCCTGCCTTTTCCTCTCTTGAACCCCCACCACGGAAACCCACAGCCACGAGTACCCTCACGAGATGGTTCACGGCTCACGCACCTCCACGGATAAAAGACCTCTCATGAGCACCATCCCCAGAGCACCGGACTTCCAACCACCACCTCGTGACCCTCCACCATGACTCCCTCAATGGAACCTCCCTCACGGAATCCTTCCCCGCACCACGCACCCCCCACCACGACTGAGACCTCTCCACGGGATTCCCTCACCTGGTTTCCATCACAACCCCACCTTTGTGAACAAAACCTTTTCCTTTAACCTATTTCTCCCTGCTTCTCTTTTTCGTTTGGGTCCGCCCGCACAGCTCCTGTGCACGGGTCATCACACAAAGAATATAAAATGTAATTTGCCCTATTCTCTTGGATTCAATTAGTTGAAGAACAGGATGGATGAATATGTTATTTAAGGTCATTCTGATTGTATGTCTATGATGAAGAATTATGAGTTCAAGATTAATAATGATGGATTTATAATTCTGTATATGATTTAATGTATAGTGTACTGAATGACAATATGTTTCTGTACCTTATTTTGTAAAGTTAACGAGATGAGCTCTTATGTTTGTTGTGTTTGTTGTGTGTATAAGTGTGATTGTGCATATATGTGTGGACCCCAGGAAGAATAGTCAATGCTTATGCTGGTGCTAATGGGGATCCTAATAAACGAAACGAAACAGTACCCCTGGATATAACTCCACCATAAAGACAAAAGAACACTGCAAGTGTGGCAGCTACAACAATGCACTATACATTAAAATGATCCCAGGATAACTGAATGGGATTTTGGTGTCCGACAACGCCACTCTGGGAATTGCACCCAGAGAATTACCTTCTACCAGCACGAGAAGGCACACAGGTCTATTCTACCCACAAGACATGAGACGTGGATCCGAGGTTAAATCAAGTACTTTATTTTAAACAAGTTTTAAAATATATGTTGTTTTTGTTTTAAAATGTTGCTCACCATTCACACCAGGGATAACAAAAGGACTTAATCAGACTGCTGAGGCTTACCGGCCGAACAGGGGCTCATGAAGGGGAGGGGAGTTCCCTAATATAAAGCAAAAGACCCATGCACACTTGTCACACACTCAAAGTGAAGGAAACCATTTCCCTTTGGATCACAGCACACATGAAAGGAGGGGGACACCACCACCGGGATTACCAGCACCACTGCCACCAGCCTTCAGCAACTGAAAAGGAGAAAACAAATTAAGGGGGAGGAGGAAACAAGCAAATTAATAGAAAGTATACTAAAGTATCAGAATATACCAAGTGGGCAGGTTTTAGATTAAACTATACAAATTATACAAAATGATAAATGCCCAAATGAAAGAAAATAAACACAAACAAAAGAAGAAACTTTTCTAAACAATTAATCAAACCAAAACAATATGAATGCTTAATCACACGATTAAAAGGAGGATTAAACTCTGTCATACACAGTGAATGCAATCAATGTGAACCGCCAGTGAAATAAGGCATCTGTGTTGGGCCGTCAGTCCACCAACAGCCAACAAGCGGAAGCCAACACGGCCAGATCATGCAGCCACACGATTCACCAAAGCGCCATGCGATGTATCGTCGGCAAGACAATAAAACTGGAAGAGAACAGCGGATGACCCAGCAGCATAGGAGGAAGCAGGAGACAAACCAGGAGACAAAGCAGCAGTGGTCTCAATCAGCTGATAGTGGCGTCAGCAGCGGCGTAGGCGACCATCCAAGCCAATTTCACCTGCTATCAGGAGTGGCGGACACACACACACCAAGGAGGGAGGAAGAGAGCCCAAGCATCTCAACACTTTACCACAACCAATTTTGTTAAAAAGGTTATTAAAAAGTGTAAGTCAGGGGATGGATACAAGAACATTTCCAAGTCACTAAATATCCCTNAAACTCTTTACAGCTGCTGATTGTTCTCCTTTAATCAATCATCTTTATTGATTCATGTCTTCCTCTGCATGTTGTGTTCTTCTCCAGAGTGTAAAGCAGAAGACAAAGTGACACAGCCACCAGAAGATGTCTTTGCTGCTGAAGGAGACACAGTTACACTGGACTGTACTTTTGAGACCAGTTCCATAACTCCTAATTTGTTCTGGTACAAACAGGAAGTAAATGGCTTTCCAAAGTACATTTTAAAACGTGGTAGTTATGGAGAAGATAATGCTCCAGAATTCCATAAAGACAGATTTGATGCTCAAGTCAACAAGACATCAGTTCCTCTGAAGATCCAGAAGCTCCAGCTGTCAGACTCTGCTGTGTACTACTGTGCTCTGCAGCCCACAGTGACAGGAAACAGCAAAACTCTGTACAAAAACCTTTGGAGCAAAGACAACAGAAAAATCAACTACATCCACTAGAGGGAGACATACTGTGTTACAGTTTTTTGACATGATTTCATCTTGTCAATCAGCAACCATCTGTTCATTCTAAGATGCAATTATTATGTAAAGCTTAACAAATAAAAGCACTCATAATTTACAATATAGTTACCAGAGGAAATGAGTGATCAGTCCAAAGAACTTAAGTATAAAGCAAATGAACTTGTATTTTTGTTTCTTGAAGTTAGTCCACCTTCATCCAAGAGGCCTCTTCACTTCAAACAGACTGACTGGGAGTTAATCACATGACTAACGGCCCATAAATGACACAGAATTCACTTGTCTTGAGGTGTAGATGGTTTTGAAATTACCCAGTGAGGGATAATTCTAGATGTCATTGGTGAGAAAGCTTTCTGAGGAGACATCTGAGGACTTTACTGTTAGAACTTGGTACGTGATGTTGAATACCCCCTCCTCTGTTTAGAGATGACTTTTTCAGTCAAACTGAAATGGTCTCTTCCTCTCCCCTCTTAAACATCTGTCTTTTCTGAAAGAATGTGGAAATTTCTGTTCTCAATGACTTGTTTTCTGTTGTTCAGATGCAGATGGACTGCTGAGTGTTTGCCTGAAGAGCTCTTCTCCTTTGTTAATCCATATTACTGGGCAGCGGTTGTTTAGTTTCCCCAATATATAGGTCTGTGCACTCCTCATATAAACTCCTACATGTATATCTCAGTTTCTCCCAAGGTAGAAAAGAAAGTACATCCCTCAACCAGTGCAGAAATGACAGGGCTGAATTTGATTTCCGATTAAAAAGTATGAGTCTGCGCGCAAGCAGGGAGGCAAGTGCATTTGCTTATAAATTTGAGACTTTGTGGCCTGGAGGTGGTATGCCAAAGTTTGCTCTGTGGTAGTCAGGTGTTGTAGTCTGACTACAGATTTTGGAAAATACATCAAATATCTGTCTCCAGTAGTCATTGAGGGAGGTGCATGACCAGAACATGTGTCCTGTTGTGGTGGGTGCATAGCTGCATCTCGAACAACCAGGATCTGCAGTGGGGAAGAGTTTAGACAATTTATCCCTTGAATAGTGAAGGCGATGGAGTACTTCAAATTAAACTAAACCATGGTGTATACACAATGATGAGGTATGAATATGTTTTAGATTATATTGCCACATATCTTCAGAAAGCTCAACCCTCAAATCTGTTTCCCATGCCATTTTAGTTTTATCCCATGACATATACCGTAAATTGCAACTATGCATTTCTTCTCATCAGAATCCAGTCCTAGAATTGGATGATGATGATCCTCAGGTGGTGGGAAAAGGAAATGAGGGAAACTTTTTTCTGGTAAACTTACATAGCTAAAGAAATCTACAATAATGCGATATGGGTATATTGTGGTCATTTTTGAGTGTTTCAAATGAAATAAACCCATTGTCAGGGTACAAATCACAGAAGACTATCAATCCCTTTCTATGCTAGTACTAAAATGCATTGTCAAACTGAGATGGAGGAAAGAAGTGGGTATCTGCTACTGGGAAATACCCGCTATACTGCCCTAAACCAAAATTTTTCCTGAAGTATAACCATATCCTAAGTCCGGCTTTGACAACCGGGTTTGTGAACTGTGTACTACTGTTACGTGGTAGCAATGATGTAAGTGTTGCTAGAGGGTTGGATAATAGTTCCATATTGGTGTCGAAATTGTGGAAGAGGTTGATGTAGGATGAGGAGCCCATCCCAGAGAGACACACCGGAGACTCAGATGACTTGAAATAAGGTTTACTGATATCAGGAGAAGTGACACTAACAGAAAAGCAGTTCATGCAATGTCAGCATTAATTCTCAAGATCCTTCTCACACCTGTACTCTTTTATTCAGTGGGAGCCACATCCAGATTTATGGGTGAAAGGGAAACAAAGATATGTCGGCACCTGGGTATAATCTGGCCTTGAGAGGTACAGGCAGAGCCTGCGAGGGCCTGTCCTGCTACAATGAGGTTTATGTGAGGTCAAGAATGTATAGAAGAGTTGCAGAGCGCACATCTGCTACAAGCACTATGGTTACCTAACAGATGTCAATTGGTTCAATATCTTCTCTAAAAGATTAACTCCAAAGCAGGAAAGCAATTTTTCCTTCACACATATGAACACAGTCTGGACCTTGCTTGTTCTCATATGTGTAAATCCAATGAATTAGTTTTACTGTTAGCAGCCCAATCATACCAAAGAAAATTGGGAAATCCCAAACCACCTGCATCTAAAGGACCCCTCAGGTACATCTTTTTCATCCTATTCCATATAAATGAAGAGATTAGTCTATCTAACTGTTTAAATGGGGATAAATATGGGGATCATCTGAAACACAAAGAAATCTAGGCAGGACTGTCATCTTAACTACATCAATGCGACCTGCTAACGAAATTGGTATGGTTGACCATTTCCCCCAAATCTTGTTTCGTTTTCTCTAATAATGAGTTAAAGTTGGGTTTCTCCAAATTCTCTATCTTATGGGTGACTTTAATTCCTAGATATGTTAACATATTGCGTTTTATTTTTAATCTCAATTAAAAAGGTCAATTGGAAAAAGTAGGCTCTTGGAGTAGTTCAATTTGTAGCCTGAGAGGTGTCTGAAGTTTTCTAGCATCAACAACAATTTTGGAATCGATACTGCTGGGTTGGATATATGCAAAAGCAGGTCATACGCATATAGCGCCACCTTATGGACTTTGCTGCCACGGGAGATGCCGGTGATACTCTCTTCTGCTCTAAGGGCTATAGCAAGGGGCTCAACTGCCAGATCGAACAGGCATGCGCAGATGCCGCAGCCCTACCTGCAGGACCTGCGAAGAGGAAATAGTCAGAAATATTATTATTGGTCCGTACAGTCGCAGTGGGTGCGTCATATATTATTTTAATCCATGTTAAGAATGATTGTCCGAAGCCAAATTATTCTAAAACAGCAAGCAGGTACTGCCACTCAGTGTGATCAATTGCTTTTTCAGCATCCAAGGAGATTATCACTTCTGTGGTGTCTTCAGACGCCAAGTGCAGGGTGTACAGGATATTGAATAATTTACGCATATTATAGAATGATTGTCTACCTGTTCTACAAAGCCTGTTTGATCTGGATCAATGGCTGTTGGAATTACAGTCTATATTGGTGGCTAGTATTTTTGTGAGACTTTTATAGTCACAGTTTAAAAGGCTTATTGGGTGGTCCAAGCCGCATAATAAAGGGTCTTTGTCTTTTTTGAGCAGTACTGAAATCATGACCTGAGTCATGGTTTGGGCTATTTCTGATATTCAAAAAAGTCCTGGTACAACTGGCTAAGTACTGGTGCTAGTTTATCAGCAAATTCCTTGTATATCTCAACTGGAAACTCACCAGATCATCCAGCCTTACCACTCTGCATTGATTTAATTGCCTGCATTACTTCATCTGTTGTGATCATCTGTAAACTGTCCTCTGGGGTGATTGTAGGAATGAATTAATTTTTTATTTTGATTTAAAAAACAACTGTTCAGTTTGTTTAATTGAGAGGTTATCCAATTTACTTTTTAACAGTAATTCTTCTTTGAAGAGCTCGGGCGTTGGGGCCTCAGCATATTTATGGTCCACCTCTGGTATACTGTGAGATAGGTCACTCAAACCTTGTTTATGTTTCTTTCTCTCATAAGCTGTTTAGGCTCAACAGCTCCCACAGTAGTTCTTCGATACTTGCAGTGGGATGGCGTCCCTCACATGATTCAAGACCTTCTTTTATCCCGACCAGACGCGCATGAAATCATCACTGGCTCCCATCGATTTCTTCCACTTTCTGGAGGAAAGTGTTAGTGTTTAAGTCAGCTGCACTTGAGTCTATCCATGCCAAAATCCTGCTTTCACTGCTTGCAATGGTGGCCATGAAAGCAGTTAGGTCTGTTGTCTCCTAATCTGAGAATTCCTCATTTGCGGTCACAATTTCAGCTGAGTCCGAGGCTTTAGCAGAGGTCTCTTTCTTGTGGCATTTTACTTTAGGCATTTTGTTGTATAGTCGTATATCATGAAAAGATTGAGCTATGGGTGTGACACACTGGTGTTATTCAGTTCTCAGAGACAGATATGGTCTTGTTGTTTTATAACAATATTATTAAAAAAAAACATTCACCTAGGTTGGGAGCTCTGCACAAACACGTCCTGACACATCACTGCTTGCAAGTGCCCCCCCTGCAGAGACGCAGTCCTGAGGCTCCCAAACCAAACACACTCCTCACCTTGAGATCCTGTTCATGAACACCACAAACAGGATCAGAGACAAAGGGCAGCACTGGTGGAGTCCAACACCCACCGGAAATGTGTTTGACTTTGTTCCAAGAACACTACAATTGCTCTCACTGTGGCTGTACATGGATCGAATGGCTTGTAAGCACGAGCCTGGTACCCCAAACTCCTTAGATACTCCACAGAGCCCCTCAGGGGACATGGTTGAAGGCCTTTTCCAAATCCACAAAATACATGTGAACTTCCTGGCCCAACTCCCATGACTCCCTCAGCAGCTCTGCAAAGGTAAAGAGCGGGTCGATTGGTCCACGACCAGGACGGAAACCGATGGGAGTCAAACAGCATTGTTCTGTGTTTATAGGTGATCTGTAAAGTTTGATGTTAAGGTATCTATCCTCCTCAGTGTGCACAACACAGTGAAAAAAAAATAAAAAAGCTATTTATTTTCCCTGTCATCCTCCTTGGGAACCGGATGTTGAACCAGTGCCTGAGTATTCTGCCCTTGCAGAGCTCAGTGCTCTGATCTTTTCCTCCTCAATGTAGAGATTAGCCACAGTGAGCGAAACGGTAGTAATGCAGTAGTCCAGCAGAGCATATTTCTAATTGGGGGTGAAGTTGGTTTTGTTGTTTAAGAGTTCTCAGTTAGCATGTGAAGAGTGAGGTGACATCAAATGATATCATGATTTCATGTGGGGAGAGTTTCACTTCTTAATCTGAATGGACCTGTGTTTTTCTCTTGCTTTGCAGTTGAATTGGTTAGGTTATAAGGTATAAAGGTTATATTAATCAAAAAAGAAATTCTTGAATGGCCTGAGACGGCCACAGCAACAGCGGGATTCAAGATAAAAGTGATAAGAAATGCTTTGGGTCTCGTTGAATTATTATTATATGCAGAAAGATCCTGGGTGTCCTCATCGGCGCGAACCGGCGACCTTCTAGCTGCGAGGCGACATGCTAACAACCGAGCCACCTTGCAGCCCACTGTAGGAAGAGTTTGGTGTTTTAAAATCGGTTACCGGTCGAATAAAATGATGGTTCTGGAAAGTGATTTAAATACAATGC